CCTTCCCTTTTCATAACTTACCCTTCGAACTTAAAATTTTAAAAGGTTTTTCCTGTTATTTTCACCTTTCCTTATTGGATAAAAGAAAAGTCGGTGGCGACTCTTGCTATCCGCAACATTTGCAATAAAATGCAAAAACAAGTCAGTTCTCCCACTGTATTACATATATGTTTCTTCGCATTTTGATGTTATTAAACATATGCTTTATAAACCAAACCTGCACAGTCGAATTGGAAAATGGGCACTTGCTTTAACTGAGTATCCCTTGACTTTCATGCCTTTAAAAATTATGAAAGGTCAAGTAGTCTCTGACTTTATAGTCGACCATGGAAATTATTTTGTGAAACTCCTCAATATTTTGTGAAATTAGAACCTTGGAAATTATTTTTTTGATGGTTCTACTCATAAAGATGGAACTGGAGTTAGAATACTGATTATTTCTCTTGATAAAATTCTAACCAAGTTCAAGTACAAAATTGAAGGTCCTCCTTGCTCGAATAACGAAGTTGAATATGAAGCTTTGATAGCAGGATTTGAAGCTTTGTTGGAATTGGGGGCAACTAGAGTCGAAATAAGAGGTGATTCTGAACTGGTGATCAAACATATAACCAAGGAGTAAAAATTCATAAAAGAAAATCTAATAATGTACTTTGTGGTAGAAAATAGATTGCTTCGAAGATTTGAATATGTTAATATCAAGCATATTCCTAAACTAAAGAACCAAGAAGCAAATGACTTAGCCCAAATTACTTCAGGATACAAAGTGTCAAAGGAGAAGATGGAAGAATTAGTCGAACTTCATGGAAAGATGTGCCATTGTCGTTTGGTGATTGATTAAAGGTTGAAGAAGAAAGAAGAACACAAAGGGTTTTGGAATAAAAGGTTTTGAAGATATTTGAAGTTGAAATGGGTTTTCTATTTATACTAAGAGGATATTAAATTGTTTTTTCTCTTAATAGATTTTAGTGCTTGAGTAAGTGGGGCACGTGGAGAATTGTTATAGGTTGCTCAGACGATTGTGTGAGTTTCAATGCTAATCTTATTTCACCGTCTACACGCGTTTGATGAGACGTTTGAAAAATCAGAGTCATCATGACTATGACATCGTTTGAAAAATGTCTATTTCTGCCAATGTTCGAAATAAACATTTATTGGGGGCAATTTGTTAACTGGGAATTTCGACTATATGAATGTTGAATTGAAATGATACATTCCTGGAAGAAATTTAGTTTGGAAGGAAGCATGAAGGAGATCTTATGAATATTTCGATAAATAAAGGCTAGTAAGAATTTCATTTCGCTAAAGTATTGGCGAAAGGTTCGTTTGTGAACCGTTGGAACTTAATTTATTTGAAGTATTGTCAGAATAGACACTTCAAACGTCACATTTGTACTATTTGGAGCTTCGAAGACAAAAGGGTTTTCAAACATGGAAGTTTAATCTTATCCAAAGAGACACGTGGAAGGATGAAGAGATTCGAAGAGCATGCAGCAACGAACGTGGCGGTTTTTTAGTAGTTGACAGTTAGGGTCGAATTAGTATAAAATATAACCTTAGTGTTAGTTTTCTGTGTATTCACATATTTGTACAAATTAATCTAAATTGCTCAAAGTATCAGTGTTCGAGAAACGAGTCGTGAGAATGTATGTATGATGCACCGGTTTTATGTTTATTGCCATTCATTTTTAATTGAAGTTTTATACATTCCTTTGAAGTTTAAATCAAAAGTCTTTTACATACCAGTATTTTCTTTAAAGTGTTACATTACTACCTTCGAAGTAACAATCTGTATTGAAGAGATTGATAAACAGAAAGATACGAAATTGAACTAAACACATGTCCTTATGATCAATCTGGTCGATCCTACGAGTCACCAATCTTTTCTTTGATTTGGAAGATCAGCGGTTGTTTACCAAATTTCACGGTGAACACTCACCCTCAAAGATTAGGGCCACTTTTGACGGGTTAGTTGAATCTTTATGCTCAAAACCTCAATTCTATTAATCGTTTATTTATTACTTTGTAAGGCGTGGGAATTGCCATTCTAACACTTCTCGGGGGATTCCATCCTCAAACACAAATTTTATGGCTTACTGATATGGCATGTCATCATTTAGATATTGCAATTCTTTTTCTCGTTGTTGGTCATATGTATATAACTAACTTCGGTATTGGACACAATATAAAAGATATTTTATAAAGGTATATTCCTCTGGGGGTAGATTGGGGCGTGGACGTAAGGGTCTTTATGACACAATCAATACTTCAATTCATTTTCAATTAGGCTTTTCCCTAGCCTCGTTAGGGGTCATTACTTCTTTGGTAGCTCAACACATGTACTCTTTAGTCTTTACCTGCATATGCGTTTATAGCACAAGACTTTACTACATAAGCTACATTATATATTCGTCATCAATACATTACAGGATTTATTATGACAGGGGCTTTTGCTCATGGAGCTATCTTTTTTATTAGAGATTACAATTCCAAACAGAACGGGGATAATGTATTGGCAAGAATATTAGAGCACAAAGAAGCTATCATATCCCATTTAAGTTGGACTAGCCTATTTTGGGGGTTCCATACTTTAGGACTTTATGTCCATAATGATGTCATGTTTGCTTTTGGCACTCCGGAGAAACAAATATTGATTGAACCTATATTTTCCAAATGGATACAATCTACTCATGGTAAAACTCCATATGGTTTTGATGTGCTTTTATCTTCAACAAATAGTCTGGCGCTCAATGCGGGGCAAAACATATGGTTGGCGGGTTGGTTAAATTCTATTAACGAGAATAGTAATTCTCTATTCTTAACAACAGGGCTTGGAGACTTCTTGGTTCATCATGCTATTGCTCTTGGTTTACATACAACTACATTGATCTTAATAAAAGATGTTTTAGATGCACGTGGTTTCAAGTTAATGCCAAATATAAAAATAATTGGTTATAGTTTTTCTTGCGATGGTCTGGGACAAGGTGGTATTTGTGATATTTTTGCTTACGATGCATTTTATTTGGCTGTTTTATGGATGTTAAATATCATTGGATGGATTACTTGTTATTAACATTGGAAACACATTACTTTATGGCAGAGTAATGTTTCACAACTTAATGAATCTTCAACCTATTTTATGGGATGGTTAAGAGATTATCTATGGTTAAATTCTTCATAATTGTCAATGAATATAACCTCTTTAGTATGAATAGTTTATCCGTTTGGACCTGGATATTCTTATTTGGGCTACTGAATTTCTGTTTTTAATCTCATGGCGCAAATATTGGCAAGAATTGATTGAAACTTTAACATTTGGTGAATTTGATTCGATGGAGAGATAAACTTGTGACTCTTTCCATTGTCTAAATAAGATTGATTGGTTTAGTTTATTTTTCGGTAGATTATATACTTACTTATGCAGCTTTCTTGATTGCCTCTACAAAAATTTAATCTCTTTGTATGAAGAAAGGGAACCACCTTCTTCTATTTTCGACATTTTAAGTTTAGGATTCGACTTCTATCATTGATACTAATAGGAAATAAATTATAATGGCAAAGAAAAGTTTAATTGAGAGGAAAAATACATTACTACTAATAGAAAATGAATCATCATGACAAAGTAGAAAATAAATCATTATGGCAATGAAAAATTTAATTGAGAAGAAAAATGCAATAAATCATCATGGCAATGAAAAATTTAATTGAAAGAGAGAAGAAAAGGTTAAAATTGGAACAAAAATATCCTATGATTCGACTATCTCAAAAAAAAAAAAAACTCAATTGTTAAGTGAGAAATGGGACCCCTAAAAAAAAGTGACGTTATAACATATTTCTAAAGAGTTGTTTCAAAATAAGTATCAACTTATAAACACAAAACTCAACTATTGTCTATATATCTAACCAAAAATGCAACTTGGATAAACGGCAACATATCATAGGTTTTTGATAAGAGATATATTAGAATATAAGGGGGGTGTTTGCGGTTCAGTTTGGATCGGTTTTAAGACAAAAAATTATTTGATTCAAGATGAATTTACTTGTGGTTCGATTTATTTTGGATGATATATTAAAAAAATACAATCCGATCCAATTTTATGCGGTTTAATTTGAATCGGTTTTTGAATATCCAAATTACACATTATATTTTTATTAACATTATAAAACTACTAATAAATCATAGATTTGATATAATATATAACATATAGTATATTAAAAGTTAATATTACAAAATGAGAGTGGTTGATTATAATTGAAATAATAAAAATAAATAAATTATACCAAATTAATAACTATTATTAAAAAAATTATTATCATCTAATAATAAATTCATATAAGATATCATAATAATAAAAAGTAAATAAGTATATATATAATTAGGTTTGATTTTGATCAATTTTAAAAAATTAATCCGAAATCCGATTAATTTTCACAAAATAACATCCAAACACATCCAATAAAGACTTTTTACAGTTTTCGATTTTTTAAATCAGTTTTCGATTTTTTATTTAGATTGGTTTAGATTTGAACATCCCTATTAGAAAGTCCTCACGAGGGATGTTTTATCATTACAATTTTTTGAAATGTTCATTTCATTGTGACGGATAAAAATCAGTTCTCGTGAAGAACAGAAGCATTTAATAGACTAGAATTGTTTTGTTTAAAAGAAAAGATAATCTCCACATTCACTATTAATATTACATAATAAACAAATGTAGTAATAATGAAATTAAAAGTGTGGACAACAAAGTGCTACTCACTTTTACAGAATAACTTAATAAAGTTTTACAGCACAAAGCTCCAAAAAAGGAAGAAAACTAAGCACTGCCATTAGTGATATCTCAGTTTAATCTTACACTGATAATGACATCAAAAGCCTATACCAAGTTTGACCTATATCAGTTTCCAGATGAAGCAAAATTTTGAAACCCAATAACATCAATGAATGCCAGACAGCTTGTAAGAGAAAACTATAATTTATAATTTACACGCATTGCATCGCTTCATCTTGGCCTGTGATCAGAAAGCTCTGCTAATTTATCTTGCTCTTCTTTGATGAATGGTTCATCCACTGCCATTGAATCTACGCGGGACACTGTCACCTGAAAACATGCAATTTTAACACCACCGGCTATAGATGCAAATTTTTGTTTAATAAAGGACAAAACATTCAACCTTGGAGCATGCAATATCCTTGAAAGTCGTAACGGTGTCTCTTCTACTGTCTAGATGATTATGATAGCTTTCCTGAAAACAAAACAAGTTCCAACTTTGTCACCCAAAAAGGATTAATTTTCCTTGACGTAATGCAAATAGTACTCGGAGACAATCAACACAACAATAACAACCAAATAATGTCATTTATTTATCTTGATTAAGCTGAGTATGTTATACAACAATACAACCAGGCCTGTTTTTCATTAATTAAGGACTGCTACATTGAGGATTTTATAAATTACATGCATATGTCACTTTGATAACACATTATAAAAAGTAGTCTTTGATCAAGACTCCAATCATGTTTGAAAGAATCCTTCATGGCTGAAAACTCTAAACTTCGGCAACAAAGTCGTCGGGAAAAGCATTAAAATGAAATATTCCTTTCATTATATTTCACTATATTGTACTCATTACTTATTTGAATTGAAGTTATAATGATAAGATGATTCAGGTTGGGACATACCGAATCTTTATGCTCAGCTTCAGCATATTCACTTTTCACCCTTCCTGAAAGAGAATTTCTGTAAAGAGGAAACTGTTAAGAACCGTGATTGACAGACTATTAAGATGGGACTCCAAAAACACGAGAGAATACCTATCAACATCCATGTCAAAGTCAGGATCCCATCTTTCATCTCTATCATCGTCATCTTCATCTCTCTAAACATGAAAAATTGTAAGTTCTCCAATATTAACACAATAGCCTATTCTTTCAATTCAATAATTGTAAATGCCAAAAATCAAACCTAATTATGAAAGGAAAAAGAATAATGCTAGGAACACACTCTCTAATACACACATCTCAACATACTCTCTTTTATGAGTTAAAATTCATATAATATGGGTCCTACCAGATTATCTAGGTCCCATATTAATTTGGTGAGAGTGTGAGTTAAAATTTATTCCTAGCACTCCTCAAGGAAAAATATAGTGGATAATTTGAATATGTTCTTGCATGTAGATGAACAAGTGTTTTCACTTTTAGAAATACAATGTATAATTCTTAACAAAGACTTCATGTGAGACCTCATATGGAATATTAAAAGTGTAAAAAATAATAAACATATATTCAAAATCAACCTCTTGAAGTTCAGTATTTGGCGGTCGCTCCTGGAATGGGACACTTGGCGCATGTTGAAGCCTAGATAAATTCTCAAGAAGTTTTGATCTTATATCATCCAATAAAGGTCGGGAGTTCTTGTTTTCCATGTTACTTGGAGCAACGTGAAGAGCATAGTCAGGACCAAAATATTCATAATACTCATGTTGGGGCATCTTATCATCTAGTTCAATCCCGAGAGCAACACCTGTCTGATCAACATTCAATAGTGTTAATATAAAATTGAACACTGCATTTTGCACGCATATCAAATATAAAGCAAACCAACACTCAACAGTGCAGCAAATTGATTCTAATTTATTAGATTTTAAAAGGACTGCTAAAAGTTTGTAAACACCCGAAGGCATTTAGTCCATTTGTAATTTTTTGCTATGTTACTTAGAACGTTTTGTCTATAAGGAATTCTCCGATTAAATCATTCCTAATTATTGCCGTGATTTTGTCTTTACTACGTTTCCTATTACATGCTGAATAAATGCAAGCTATGTTTTCAATAGCGAAAGATAGCGCCACTATAGCTGCATAGCATGGCAGAGTAGCCCCTCACTGCCACGCCATTTATCTGCTACCCGCCTTACAGAGTCGTGGGAATAGTGGTCAAATAGCACTTACCACTATTGGGGTTCTGGGGGAAAGACCTTAAAAACCCTTTTTTTAGAACATTTTTAATTTGTTACGGGTATATATTGGCACTTTCACACCCCATTAAGTGACCTATTTTAATCCACCTTTCTTCTTCCTGTGTATTCTCCAACAGCGGCCTTTGCTTCTGCAATTCCGTGTTCTTTCTCTGCGTATTCTACCTATGATTGTCCTTTTAATTGTGTATTTTTCCTTTTTTGAATACTCATGTGTATTGTTGAAACTTGTGTTCAGAGTTGTCAATAGCGAGCGCTCCAGCCACTATCGCGGCGCACCGTAGCGGTGCGACACCCCCCCGCGCGCTATTTAGGGTGCGGTGGCGGAGATGAAAAAGTGGCCGCTTCAGCCGCGTTCCCGGGTAGCGGGAAGTTCCCGGGCGGAGCGGCTCCGGTTCTCTTTTTTTTTTTAACAATTTTCTGGGCCAAATTACTTAAATGCCTCTGTTTTAAAACAGTTTTTGTTTTCTTTCTCCCTCATTCGCTGTGTTTTATCGTGCCCTAATTCCTCAACTCTCCTTCTACGATTTTGCCGCCATCTCCCTGCAACTCTCCTTCGGTTCTTCCTCCATCTCCTTCTGTCATCTCAGGTAATTTCTTCTAATTCTTCAACTTATTCTACTTCAACTTATTCTACTTCTTTTCTTTCTACTTCTTCTTTCTACTTTCTACTTCTTCTATTTTGTTTTGTTGTAAACACCGTTTCTTTCTATTTTGAAGAAGTTGAAGATGAAGAACTGGAGGAATATGAAGAAGATGAAGAATTGGAAGAATATTTTGATGATGCTACATGATTTCTATGTTTGCTTGAATTTTCATATGATAGTACTAAGTTTGAATTTGAATCTTTATGTTTTGAATCTTGATTAAGCATTGTTCTTTGTTTGATATTAGATTTTATAAATATTTTATGAGTGTTGTGAAACTAGTTTAGTATTACATGACATATGTTTTATAGATTATTATATAATTATTAGTATACAAAAAGTTATCCCGCTATTCCCACTTTTCCCATTCCCGGGGGTCAGCCGCTCCGCTCCGCTATCCGGGATTAATAACTCTGCTTGTGTTTAATTTATACTTTGCTTTTTAGTCTTCACAATAGCGGTCATCCCACTATCCGCTATAGCATTTTCGGGGTTCGGCGCTACATTCCGGTATCTGATTGTGTATAAATTATGGAACTTAGAATAATTGTATCGTTAACGACTATCAGTGTTGTCAATGGCGGATGGCGGTCCATGGCGGATGGCGGAGAGCCAAAATCCTGCCATACTAGCCGCTTTGCGACACAGTTATTGTGGATTATGGCGGAAAAAACTGCAATAGCGGGCAATATTTACCATTGCGGCGCGCCCAAAAACCGCCATGTATATCCGCCGTAGCGGGGCAATTTGATAACATTGATGACTATTCAGCTATAGATGGATGAAATCTAATCAATGAAAGGGAAATGGAATGGAAATTATGACAGTTTTGAGTAACTTTGATTCATAGTGCCATAGAACTTAATGTTTCCCACTAATAGTCAGTTGTGAGCAGATTTTTCTCATGAACTATTTAAGTGGATCTATTGGTTATTTAAGCCAATGATTTCCAGTTTGGGAGGAAGGAGGCCATACAAATAAAGTAGGAACACGTAATACCTCATAACACCAACATCGTGCGACATTTCTTATTGTATAGCCACCTCCACCGAGCAACAGAAGAGGAACATTAAAGGATCTCATATATTTGACACACTCTGCATGGCCTTTGATTGAAAGATTGAAACAACCTAACCTGTCTCCAGATAAAGAGTCAGCACCACATTGCAATACAACAGCACCTGGTTTAAAAATCTCCATCACCTTTCCCATTATGGGCTTAAACAATGAATGGTAGGTCTCGTCATCAATTCCATCATCCAAGGGAACATTGAGTGAATAATATTTCCCAGTACCATATCCAATATCTCGAACATCTCCCGTTCCAGGAAAGTAATCCCCAAACTTATGAAATGAAACAGTCATGACCCTATCTGTGGCATAAAAGGCCTCCTCGACACCATCGCCATGGTGGATATCGATGTCGACATATAGAACACGCTGCCGAATGACAAAGGAAATAAAGATTTCAATGAAAAACAATTAAATCAATACTAGAATTTATGCAAATGCAGGAAAGGAAATTGGGAAATAACAACCTCGTGCATCTTGAGAAGTTCCAAAATAGCTAGGACAATGTCATTTACATAGCAAAAGCCGGAAGCCTCGCATTTTTTAGCATGGTGTAGGCCACCAGCCCAATTAATAGCAATATCAGAAACACCTTGGTTCAATTTGACAGCACCGCCAACAGAACCACCAGCATATGTCTGACAAAAAGAGTAGAGACCATCAAAGACAGGACAGTCTTCACCAACATTAAACCTCTTCAACTGTCTGAGCTGATCTTGCTGTGTTTCAGGGGTAATACCCCTCAAAAAAGCGACATAGTCATCGGCATGGAACTTGCAGAGATCCCTGTCTTTAGCGGCGGTAGGTTTGATGACCTGCATATGTTGAAGCAAACCATAATGTGCTAAAAGAGCATGGGTCATTCTAATACGATGTGGTTTCATAGGATGGCCCTGTCCGTAATAATAGTTACCAACTTCAGGATCATAGAAATATGAAATCTTCCTCTTGACACCATCTGAACCAGATGGAAGGGAGTTACCTCCACTTTCCATCATATCTAACCTAAATAAACAATAAACAATAATAATAGAGTCTTAGAAGATGCAACTCATACAAACAAAACAAATAAACATTAGTCAAATAAAATGGAAATGCTAACCTGAGATGTGGAGGGAAAGCTGTGTAATGTAAGTAAGTACGTCTTCGATCTCTCGATGCTTCTTTGTCTTGTCTTGTGTGTTGTGTCGAGGGTTTCAAATGTTTTTTCTCAATTTATTTCTGGCTGTCGTCAACTTTTTCGCTATTATTTTATTGGGCTCTTGAATTGGGCCTACCCCCAATACTAACCAAAACTTTCAACATGCCACCCCAAGATTAGACCTAGCACCCTCCCAATTTTTTTTGGAAATTTTTTTCACTCTATAGTTTTAACCATACGAAATTCTAAAAATGCTCCTTAAAATCGATAATATATATCTGATAAGCATTTTGTCAGGCATACATTGGGTTTAAATCGGTATTAAATTTCCGGTTGCAACCGCACGTATATTTTTGGTTTGTGTTGAGACATAAAGGTGTGTTGCATTTTCCCTTCCCTTTACAGAAATTTATTTCAAAAACCAAAAACAAAATATCATTCCTCTCAAACCTAGTTGTTACAAAACCAAACTACTTCTCAAAAAGCTCGTCAGGAATCGTTAAGCATTAGTTAACTCAAGTGTTCAACAATATGCAATCAAGAAAATTAATCAATTGTAAGTTGTTTTTGACTTTATTATAGTTAATGTAATTTCTAATCAAATTAGTGATTTAGGTTAGAAATGGTGATTTTATTTTGTGTTTTCAATATTATGAATCATTAGAAATGTGTTGGAAGTCTCATTTTTATTATCAATGGCATTTTTTGTGTCATTTGGGGATCTGCTTCACCATTGAAGAAGCTCAGAATTTGTAGGTCGTACCGAAAATGTATTTCTCGCTTTCATTTTAACGTTGAAGAAAATCGGGAATGCATTTCTAGTTTTAATATGTTTCTATTTTTCCCTTAATTTTGAACTTCAGTCCTTATGTTAACGTTTGTTTTATACTTCTACATGTGTAATGGTTGAGAGACCATCTAGGTTGAGGCACGACTGACTTGCATAGCATACTTCTTTGCAGACGAAAAGGAGTCAAGCATCCCAGGCTTTTTTTGCATCTGAATAGGTTGTGTCTGATGTGCGTACTACAGCCTTTGCCTCTAGTGTTTTTATTTCTACTTTGACTACATCGTCCTCCCATAGCAGGCGGGATTATCTAGTTCATCCATATCCGTCTCCGTCCTCCTATAGACGTACTTCCTCATTCATGGTATTTGTGGCGGGAGAAGAATTTGGTTCCCAGTCGACACCAGAGGTCACACAGCTGACACCTCAGGCCCAGACATCTCAGGCAACTGAGCAGGCACCTCAAGCGGCACCCCAGACATCTCAATTACCTGAACAGACACCTCAGACGGCACCTAAGGTTGCACCTCAGACATCTCATACACCTGAGCTGACACCTCTGGCGTCCCCTTGTTTCCAGTGATTTCTGGTAAACAACCGCTAGTCTTCCAAACTATCGAATAATCTTTCTGACTGTTATTCAATTCCTCTGGTAACTCACAGGATCGACTAGATTGATCCTAGGACTCCTTGGATATTAAGGTTACTCTCACGATCGAACAGATATTCATGGTTGATATTGTATATGTGTTTGGATTATTTCGATTTCTCTCTCTCTAAAAGTCTAAAGATGTGATCAAAATGTGTGTGAAAACTAAGTTACATGAATAAGTGCTAATTGTAATGCTAATTGTAAAGACATGTAAAACTGCATAAAAGTGAAGTAAATGGTTTCGACTTACAAAACAGTTAATATAAAGGATTTCTGGAACGTAAAAGGTTTGATTTTAAGGCTTGAAGGTAAAGGTATGGAAAATATGACAGTTTTCTGAGATATAAAGTGCTTGAAATATGAAGAAAACATTAAAATGTAAAACTTTGAAGAAGAGATTTCGAAGTGAAAAGACTGTAAATAAGAAAACTTATAAATGTTATTTGACAAAAGGGATAAAGGAAAGTACTGGAAATGGTAAAAGGTTTTCATTAAATCAGAAATACATGGTGCTATCAAACATACATTTCTCTTGCATTCGTTTCCCTTGCCATGTGGTAGTTTGAATGTTATTGAGTATTTTGTATAATAGATATGACACACGAAATCCTAATACTAAGACTTCTATTTATACTAATTCGACCATAACGGTCTTGCTATAGGATTATGCCACGTTTAGAACATGCAGGACAGTGCCTCTTTCATCTTTCCACGTGTCCCCAAATGCTCCAACACATAACTTTCAAACTTCGAAAGTCCCGCTTCCATTTGAATTTCAAATGCTTTGGTGCTTCTCCATTTCGAACGCTCTTCCCAAACACAGCCTTGTTGTTATTTCGAGACTTCTTTAGATATGTTCCCATAATTGCCACTCGAAGCTCCAAGCTTTGACACACTTATTCGAAACACTGCTTCTGCTACTTCGAAACATGACGCTTTACCTCATTTCGATCAAAACGTTTAATTCATTTGGCTTCTAATAACTTTATCAAAATCTTCAGCCAACAAATTGCCCCTTTAAAATATGTATTTCGATTCCTCTGAGAAATACCTATTTTAAACACCTACACAAGATTTTGATGGGACTTTCGAATCATCGTAACATTTAATGCATTTGACTCTAGTCACGTCAATCATAGCACCTTTTGGATTTCTTAACCGCCTGGAGCCACTTCACAGCGTGGTGCAGTTACAAATAATGATTATCTTTAAATCACGCCTATTACCTATGTTAACTTCACGCCACCTCTTCATCACACCAACCCATGATCTCCACGTATCACACCTTTATTCGGTGGATGCTTAAACTTCCCATTATAAAACATCAACTTAATCTTCTTCTTTTCTTTTCACACTCTAAATCTTTTATCCTCTAAATCTTTTACCCTCCTTCTCTCGTAAAACAATCCAAGCTTTCAACATCTTTCAAAAATGTCTTCTTCTACTTCATCCCAACTCAAGAAAGTCTCCAAGAAGAAAGGAAAAACTACAGGAGCTACCATGGAAAGTAAAATCATCACTCTCCAAGGTCAATCTGCTCTTGCCCCTCAGATGATTTCAAAAGAAAAAGAAATGCTGTATGCGTCACAGGTACTCATTCCTACCAACGTTGCTGGTAAGAGGTTAGCTTTAAATGGCCCTCTTACGGTTTTTGAAATATTAAAAGACACCAGGACGATTTTCCCAGTTTGTTATAGCTTCAGACCCTTATTTAACAAAATGGACGCCCCTAAGGCAGTAGAATCTCCTAGTTCAAATACCATAGAAACCCCAATTGTTCCTTCTAAGGACCCATTTGTTTTGGATTATGTAAAAAGTAATTTTAAGCCATTTCGATCTTGCCCCACCTCTGATATTGCTTATCAAAATTGGTTCACGAAAGTAGAAGCTAAGAAATCCCAGCAATGGGAAGAATTAGGCATCTATAACCTGATTAAGCTATTGAAGCCTGGTTTCACCTACAGCCACCCTCTGCTATTCGCGTCCCTTTATTTCTGGGACAGTACCTATAACACTTTCCATCTCCCAGGTGGAATGATCACCCCAACCTTCTTCGACATAGCGGCCATCACTGGGCTGTCGCCAGTGGGAGAAACTTATATACCCGACAACGAAGAGCACTCAAGCATAATTGACTTTGAAGTCAAGCTAGCCAGTTTTTCCAAATTTATCAGTCATTACCATGCTGAGGGGGACAATGTGTCTGACATAGAGCACATTGCTTTCTTAACCCTGTGGCTGTCAAGATACGTTTTCTGCAGTAGATCCCTACAGGTAGCTAGTAGGTTCATTCCTCTAGCTAGGGACTTGCATGAAAATCGAAAAGTGTGCCTAAGTGAACTGCTCTTAGTTGACCTCTATGAAAGCCTGAGGTCAGCTGTTTCGAGCCTCAAATCCCACACCTCCAAAAATATTCTATTGGTTGGCCCTTTTTGGTTACTCCAACTATGGCTAAATGCCATGTTCGAACCCTCCTTATCAACGGCCAACACCATTGATGAGCAAGATTCTGAGATAAGTGATAGGATAGTCGAAGGCACTAGGCTTCGAAGATTAACTCCCAATGACGACAAAGATGACTTCAAAGTTCAATTCTCGAAGTACATCATGATATTCTCCAAAAGGCACAAGTTCGAAGAGAGCATAGCGCCTTTTGCTTCGAGGGCTCATGGACCTTCTTGGTTCACCATGGCTCTCTCAGAAGCTATCAAGAGCAAGGAGATTCAGGATGTATGGAGAGCTTTTTTGCTGCCTAGACTCATTTCTTCAAGAATAACCCCAGCCAAGAACCAAATTTTTCTCTTTGCCTACCAACCAAACTTCGTTTCGAGGCAGTTTGGCTTATGCCAACTGATTCCTGAACCTTTATTTCAAACTGAGAGCGCCATCACTTCTGGACGAACTTTCAAGGCACGGGAAGCCAAAATACAGCAAGAACAATATCAAGTCTTTGCCCAATTTGAGCTGATAACCTTCGAACCTACCCATCTCGCGGCTAAAGGATTTCTAGAGTGGTGGATCAAGTTTTATCAAACTTATATGTTCGATACACTTACAATTCGACAGAAACTAATTGATGCCTTCGATGTGCAGGTACCAACAAAGAAAGGTATGTTTACTCATGCCAAAGAGATTAAAGCTTTCCAAAATTATTTTGAAACTACTTACGACCCCACGCGCTTGGACTCCACTGTGCATCAAGCAGCTGAGACCTTGAAGGAAAAATTTAAACAAAAAGTTTCTAAGTTAAAACTTCCTTCAGGGATGTCACCTGAGGATAGGTATAGGTTGGCATTCGAAATGCATCCACCTAAATTTCCCAGATTACCTACCTCAGAACTGGCTCTGGCTTGGTTTCCCCCATATCCATGGTGGTTTACTTGCAAAGAGATGTTCAAATATCTTCAAAGGAAACCAAAGCCATCTGAGACTGTGACATGGGCTCGATACTGGCTTCATGATTTCCCAGGACACCTTCGATACGACCTTTCAGCCATGTCAATTAAATCTGATCAAGGCACATGTGCGAATGCTTGGGAAAATCCCAAATGTCTTTTATTTTCCATATCTTTAACCTTTGCTTTAATTGTTTCGATTTTCAGCTATCAGGATAAAGACAGCTGCCTCGAAGTCGAAAGAAGGGAGTGCCTCTCAAACCTCCATCGAAACTACTGACAAAGTGACTCCACCCGAGACAACCACTACTGCTGCAACCATAACAACAA